TAAAGTTACAAATGGATTAAGTAGATTAAGATACTTCATGAATCAGTATGTTAACGATGAATTTAACTCTGAAGCACAATTATTTCAGGAGACAAAGTCCTCTAATTTTATACAGAACATCTCAAAACCATGAAGGATGTGATTTCAGTTAGGGTGACGTTGTCTTTTACTCCACAGAATATAAGTTCCTAAAATGCAGTTCACTGTGCACATGTATGGGTTTTACAAATTTCCTCCAGATAATGTTTCCAATCTATAATCAATGAAAATTAGTATTGAGTACAAAAGAAAACATAAAATCACTATAGTAGCTTCTAACATATGACAGAGTCAATTCTTCAAAAGTGTTACCTTTTTATTTCAAAATTATCTGCATAGATCTGTTAGCCAATCATTATTTCAAAAATGTTTTTAATATGCTGTTAGTACTGACTCCTAGACATTCTGTGGTAGAGAAGCCTTTTAAGTATGTTATCCTAGAATTTCTCAAGGTCAACTATTAAAGCATGTTTTAAAAAACTATCAGCAACAATTTTCAGGAACTAATGGCTTCGGGGACTGTCTGGAAAAAAGTAATATGAGTAATATTGTCTTTTACTTTTCCCCCGGGGTAAGAGTCAGGATTTACAGCGTCGCACCCATTACAATGGACATTTACATGGGATGAGCTCCAGTTATAGTCAATGGAGGCTTTGAGGTTGGCTTATACCATTGGGCTGCAACACAAGGGCAGAGGGGGAGGTGTGAGGTGTAGGATCCAATACCTTCAACTTCATTTTAACCATTAGAGCTCAGTGCTATCTGACACAGATAAAACTAACCCTTCTTCATTTTTTTTTATTTTTACAAAATTTCATGGTTAAAAAGAGAAGTTTGAAAGTTGTCCTTCTACATTACCAAGGGGAAGCAAAAATTAATTCCATTAATGCCCTGTCATTCAGTCTTGCCTCCATCCAATCAATGCCATCTGGATTCCTCCGCTAAAATGAGCTTTCCATTGTCATAATCGGATTTTGGTGAAACATCGTGGACCGTCATCAGGGGACCCGGTTTTCACCTCTAGCATTTTCTCCATTTCCTTCCTTGTAACTTATCTTTCATGATATTGAATATCTCTTCTGTGCATACACTGGTCATTTTCACCCTCAACTTGTTACAGCGTGTTTGACCTTGTTTACCATGCATGCTGTTTTCTCTGGGACGTCATAGGGTGGGGGATGCCCAGAGGAGGACAGATTTTGAGAATTTGGAATCTCGGATTGCCCAGGTTTTCTCCATCTCAGTCATCCACTGTTCTACTGGGTTTGTGCTGCCAAAAACACTTCTGATCATTTCCTTCCTGTGTCTCAAACCCTTCAAAGGTCCTTCTGTTCTTACAATCAGATGTAAATCCTTTACTACGATGCCTTTCATAATCTGGTTCTTGGCTACCTGAAACTTGATCTCTCGTCTCGTCTGACCTCAAATTCAATGTTCTTCTTACAGATTTGTCTGGATGATTTTACCCTTGGTGTCTCCATATCTAGAAAGCTTTCCTAGAGCACCCAAGACTGATATTTACATCCTCCTGTTATCTTTCAATAGACAGTTAGTATCCAGTTAACCACTTAATGTTACTACTAAGGGCTCTGTTTATATAGGAAATTCATTAATGGATACAAATGATTAATGCATATGTGCATGTTTAAAGGGATATAATGGCAACAAATCTATACTTTTAGCTATGGGAACCATATTAGTATTGCAACATCATATTTTGACATAGTAGTGAGAAAACCTTGTCTAACACTGAAAAGGCTACATTTTAATAAGGAGGAAGATTACAGAAAACAACCTGAGCTGTTATATGGCAATAAGTTTCTAAGAGGGACTCTCCCCAGCAACACTAAGGGAAACAAAAGAATGTATAACCTCCTATCATGTTGTCAATGTAAACGGAAGTGTGGGGAGTACTATACTATTCAGTGTGTTTTGTACCGTCTGGAAACTCCAGGGAGAAGGTTTTCCCCAGGGACATTCATGCCCAAGGGATAAGCAGTGAGAATGAGCTTGACATTCCCAGACCTCACTGCTTCCAAACCCGTAGCAGTCTAGGGTAGACGAAGGTCACGGTGACTCTATTCTCTTACTACGAGAATCTCTGATCCAGTCTTCTAACGAATTTTTTCAATGTTGTTTATTTTATTTTAAAAAAAATGTCTTGTAAGAAATGATAAATATGGTTGCTTTTTTATGTATTAATGCAGCAAATCTCCCCTTTGCCCCTGTACTAACAGTGTGGAACTTGCTCCACACGGAGCTCAATTAACCGCTTAGAACACCGTCCTTCCCTTTCCTGGTATCTGTGCTTTATCATAAGACCTTTGGTTTGCTTCCACTGTCACTGCAAGGCTGAGCAAGATGTAGACCAAATGTGAACAGCTAGAGGGTATCAGTAGTATTGTTGTCATGGCCTTCTCGAACCCAAACATTTAAAAAATCTGCTGGACATATGTTCTTAAGGATTTTTTCCATAGGCATATCAAGTAGAGAAAATAACATCATTTAATTATTTTAACAAACCACTGGAACAAACACGTTTTAATGAAGATGTAACAATTATCCTTCTTTTTTTTTCTTTTTGTATTTAAAAATAACTTTGGGGCTCATTCCACGGAGGGAGGCCACCTTCCTGCAGTAAGGACAGCCCAGCGCTTTGTCAGGACTCTCCTGGCTTATGTCTGCTGTCCTGATATAATTATGAATAGCTCCCTATTGCTGTGCAAGTGTCACAGGTTCTGCAATGAATACTCTGCTCATCATAAGCAGACAGACTCTTTCCCTTCCTCCCAATTCTCAGATGGCCTTGAGGTTCAGAACTTCTGGTAGCAGTCAGAAAATGGAAAGAGGGTGATTACTACTCCCCAAAGCCTTTGGTTTTTCCTGCATCAAGCTTGCACTGAGTAAAATCTCATTCTTACTGGATGGTGTGCCCTAGATGGCATCATGACAATTTGCTTATGGTCTCGACCCCTCATTCCTTCCCATGCGGGAATACCTTGACAAGTGTAGAAACACATGGATTTTCTCCCTTACCACACCAAGAGACCCTTAGTGGACCTTGACGTAGATTTGGATTATACTAGCCTTAAAGAAAAAAGTCAAAACAGATTCAGGTTTTCAGATATGTGTTCAGATGGATTTGATTTCCTTCCCTCTCATTTACAAGGTGTGAGACTTTCATCTTCCTCATAAGAGTTTAGGGACAATTGTGGCTATAATATTTTCTTTGTAAAATCACACGAGCTTTTTTTGAACCTTAATCATTTTTAAAGTTATTTATTACATTAGTTTAATACTTCTGAATTTGAGTAATAATTAATTCAGTAAATGTGTTAAATGAATTTAATACGCGGGAGCCTACCCCGAGTTGAAGATTTTATTCAAAAGAAAATCTTTAGTCACAGGAAAAGTTCATGGCAGCCTCATCTGGGAGCCATCAAAAGAGCCATGGCAGGGGCGCCTGGGTGACTCAGTGGGTTGGGCGTCTGACTTGGCTCAGGTCATGATCTCATGGTTCGTGGGTTCGAGCCCCACGTCAGGCTCTGTGCTGACAGCTGGGAGCCCGGAGCCTGCTTCCGATTCTGTGTCTCCCTCTCTCCCTCCCCCTCCCCTGCTCATGCTCTGTCTCTGTCTCTCAAAAATAAGTAAATGTTAAAAAAAAAAAGTTAAAAAATAAAATAAAAAGAGCCACAGCACCTACAGTTCCATAATTAGAGAAGTAACCTTTTGGCATTAGGCAAAGGCAACGCCCGGACAGTGAAATCTGACCAGCGTGGGTGTACTACTTATTTTCACTCTGTCAAAAAAAATTGGCTGTCCTTAAATAATGTGAGCTTTTGTGTGACAATCTAGATTGCTGGGTCCTGAAAAATCCTAAGAAGTCCATACACCCACCTGCACCATACTTGGCTTGGGCTACAGGGCTGCAGCCCAGACCCCCATCTTCCCCAAGGTCCAAATCCTCCCACTTTCCGAGTGCTGCCTTCCTCACACATGTACATCACTGTCTTGTTTTCTTTACATCTGTTTCTTGAAATTCTGTACACCCGTTAATTTTTAGGTAAAATACAAGTTTCCCAGGAACGGATTACTCATGAATCCTTAAAATTATCGGGAAGGAATATATCGGTTTACTTCTTAGGCCATACTTTGATAATGGAGGAAGTGGAGGGGACCTTAGAAATTGATGTGTCATGAGAGGGAAAAGATGTCCTCTGTGGGGAGGGGGGTTCCCCCTCCTGGGGACCACAGTCTTAGGGACTCTAGCACTGAGAAAAGATTAGTGGTGGGTAAGAGGTCAATTGTGTTTTAGGGGTGTTTTGATATGACTAACTGTGAAGGATGCCCTTCACCATTCAATACGCATCACCGTGTGGAAAAATTAAAGAAAGAAAGATCCTTTGTGGAAAAGGCACCCAATTAGACAATATAAGACCTTGCTAAGTCAAGACAGGGTGACAAGCATTTTCTCCCTGGCTAGAAACTCTAACCCCCCAAATTCCTCCACACTATGATTCTAACATGTTAGCTATAAAAGTAAACTAAAAAAAGGTTTTCCCCATTTGGATATTGGAGATGTTGATGTAGAAAAATAATAAAGAAACACTTTGTTTAAAAAAGCTGTGTTTGGGGGGAAAAATTTCCCCTCAAGGGCTATATCTTTAGTAAGAAGAATATATATAATATATACTATAAAATATGATGTATATATATTATACACGTATATCCACTTTATATAGTTATAATGTTTTATGGAAACATGTTTGTCTTATTAAATTCACACGTGTTTCTCTATAATCAGAATAAAGCATGATTTATCTTCTATGAACAAAAATGAGGATCTTAAACAAGATTCGTGGTAATCAATTAAAATACTGACAGGAGTTGGAGGTCATTTCAATCATTCTTAAACTACAATGCCTGCAGCACATTTCTTGGAGCTGACTTGAGCACATTACCTTTGTTGCACCATCAAAGCAGATAAATCCTGTGCTAAAGTCGATCGTGAGTCCCATTAGATGACTTTCTAGCACACATGCATACGTCTTGCACTAGACAGAACAGAAAACACTGTTACTTTTCATGTGATTGACCCAGTACCATTATTAATAGCCAGCATTTATCAAAGACTCTTTGACAGCTCCTATAATAAGTTGTTTATACAATAGCTAACGTAGTATCAGCAATAATTGTACAAGGAGCATAGTATTATTGACATCTTAGTGTTAATAAAACTGAAGCTGAACAGCTTTTCACCTGCCAAGGGGTACGAGGGGCCGAGTTTCCAATCCTGTGCTATCTGAACACGCTTTTACCTAGGGCTGCACTGACACCCTTTGCCGTATCGGCAATAAAACCGGTATAAAAGTGTTTAGGTGTAGGCCAGATTACGTTACGTTGCTACATTCTAAAGCTAAACATCATTGCATTTTCATTAAGCCAAAAGTGAATTATTAAAGGTTAAGGTATTAATTCAGTTGCTGGCCTACCAATTTCTTGGATATGATTAAAGCAGAACTCGCAGGCACATGAACACAGATTCAGGAACCAAGGCAAAACGTGTAAGAACATCATTATCTTAAGAGTCTGTCATATAATGTTCATCCATGTGGTACAAGCTATTTCCCAAAGACATTCATTCCTTGTTTCTTATTTGTATAAACCTCCTGATTCTTCCAAAATCACCAGGACTTTTTACACGAAGATGAGATTAAATTATAATGTTACTTATATAAATATTTTGGAAGATGAATAAAATAAAGATACTGAAATTTAACAGTAACAAATATGAAATGAAAACTTGGAACTTATGTGCCACAGGATGCATTTTTATGTCCAGAGGCCACCTTTATTTTCATTTAATTACAAACTGTACTGGGATGTTCAAATGAAGAAAACTACTCATAATTCACAAACAAGGAGGAAGAGAGAAAGGAAGAGAGAGACAGAAACCTATCTCAAGCAAATTTTCAATACCAATATTTACATGATATTTGTTTTATAATACTGTATATAAAACTATATTAAATGAATCAGATTCTGACGATAAGATGGCTAAATGCATCAAGTTGACTTCACCAAAAATCTATATTCATAGCTTTAAGTCCAATTTGCATAGGAAAGCTACAACTATGCCAAATTATTCCTTCACAGTTGAATTTTTCAAAAACCAGCTCAGAAAACAAACTTAATGGGCCTTGTAAGTTCAGTTTTGGGTGTAATTTTGTTTAATGCATGGGCATCTTCCGTGCTTATATCCACCCATCACCACTTCTTTAAAACCACTATCAATATTAAGAAATGTTTGGGGCACCTGGGTGGCTCGGTCAGTTAAGCGTCCCACTTCAGGTCATGATCTCACGGTTCCTGAGTTCGAGCCCCACGTCGGGCTCTGTGGGGACAGCTCGGAGCCTGGAGCCTGCTTCAGATCTGTGTCTCCCTCTTTCTCTGCCCCTCTCCTGCTCATGCTCTGTGTTTCTCTCTCTCTCTCTCTCAAAAATAAACATTTAAAAAATCTTTAAAAAGAAATGTTCAAGGCTATCTCATTCCCTCTAATTTAGACACAATTGTTCTCTATTTTCAGTTGCTATAAAAGAATATGTCAGGTGAAAACACCTTCAGTACAGAACATGAAAATTTATCTCATTAAGTTCAAAATTATGAATAGAACCAATTCATCAATAACCATTAATTTGAAACAGATATATAAATTGAGACTCACTAAAGTTTAATTCTATAATTTATAATCTTTTAATAAATATATATAATGAATATAATTAATGTTTAATAACATAACACTTGATTTATTGTTTAATTTCTATTTATTTTATAATGAAAATTGAATTATAGTTAGAAAAAAGTAGAAAATTATACTTTTCAGGGATAATTTGCAACATTTGAAAGATTTTTACACAATTATATAATATTACACAATATTTGAACATATATCACACATAAAATATTTTTTAATATGTCCTTTTGGATGACAGCTAAATGTCTATACCTGGATAAAACATGTAATAATAATTAAAGAAAATCAATTTTGTAAGTCACATGCTCTTTCATTAAAAGTTCCATTTTAAGGGCACCTGAGCATCTAACTCTTGATTTCAGCTCAGGTCATGATCTCAGGATCATGAGATAGAGCCCCATTTGGGGGCTAACAAAAGCTAACAAGGTGCTAATTTTTTTTTGAATGTTTATTCATTTTTGAGAGAGGAGAGAGGGAGAGAGTGGGGGAGGGGCAGAGAGAGAGAGAGGGAGAAGAATCTGAAGCAGGCTCCGGGCTCTAAGCTGTCATCACAGAGCCCAATGCAGGGCTCGAACTCAGGAACCATGAGATCATGACCTGAGCTGAAGTGGGATTCTCAACCAACTGAGCCACCCAGGCGTTTCAAAGCATTAAATATTTTACTTTTCACTTGCTATGTGCAAGTGAATGGTATAGTGAGACGGTGCAAAGAAATGCATTGCTCAGGACATTACCTTAGAGAATATGCAGCCCAGAACCAAAAAACAAACAAACAAAAAAAAAAAAAACAGTATTACATTACATCAAAACATCATAATGTTATCTCATTTCTAAACACCAGGGGACTTAAAATGAAATCTTGAATTGAGACCATTAGATAGATAATGTCCATGTAGTAGTTTGCAAGTGAAGTGTAATATTCTGGGAAAATGACAATTAGGGAAGCTTAAAAGTATCATTATGAATAACAAAAACGTCAACTCCTATTTGACCAACATATTTTAGTGCTCAAAATGGTCTGAGGTGTTGATACTTGAAATAAAATAATGTAGAAGGTTTTTCATCTCTCCGTTTTTGATATTAAACTATGTATTGAATTGAGGTTCTATATAGCTAACTTATTTAAACAATGTTCCTCAGTTACATTAATATTTTAAGAGACATGCAGATCAGCAGAGCTGTTAGAAAGGGTCAACTGAGCAATGAAACAAGTGAAATTTGAGTCTTCTCCCTGTCCTTTTCCCCTGATTGTCATGTCACACTAGTGCAAACTGATATGTTCAATATAGAAGGTTATAGTCAGAAATAAAGGAAATTAATACATGTTACAGATCAGCTCAACGTGTTGCAAAAATATGCAACCAAGTCTCCTAATATAGACAAGCATTCCAGGAGAGTCAGTGCCATATTCTCATCATTACAGCTTTGTTTTCGAAATTAAGTGTCGGTGTGTCTATTTAGGTCCTGGCTCTATGGGCCCATTTGCATGTGGCGAGCACATCACAATTGCTCAGTTTTGACCTTGGTTTCTGTCAGACCTCAGCCACAGGACCCGTATTTGGGAGCCTCTTCTATCTCATGGTCCCATGAATTGTAGGGGCTGAAGGCTCTTTGAAGTTTGATCTACATATAACTTCACACATACAATATACAATATAACTTCACAAATACAGCTTAATAAATATCTGCTGAATACTTGTGAGGTACAAAAGGCACTGTATCCAGTTGGTAAATGAATAAAATAATCCCAAGCAACCTGTAAGTTAGTGTGGGGAATGGCAAGCATATGTTGCCCCAATACAAGACAGAGGGTGAGCAGACCTAGGAAAACAGACAAGCACACACACAGAGAAGTGATATTGCTGTGCACGTGTGGGACGGGTTTGAACGGGACTGTTGTGGGAATAGTGGTAATGAGCAGAACGGGCTGGAAATCAGGAAAATCTTCACGATGCCGTGACCTCTGAAAACATGTCTCAAATTCCCTGTGCGGTTTTGAAGGGTAGAGATGAAGGAAATCATTTCTAGAAAGAAAGAGCATTGGGAGTGAATGAAACCATTCAGGCTAATGGTCACGATGGGAGAAGAGGAGGTGGCTTTGTCAAAAATTAAGAAAAGTCACAGCATTTTCTATCTGAGATTTAAACTCTAGGGGAGCAGTCATTCATTGTTGGGAGGCACAGGTCCTAAAATTTCCCAGGCTCTCACCTGTATCCGTTCCACTTCCAGAAAGGTTGCTGTTTGGAAGGCTCGTTCCCACTGGGCGAGGTCAGAGTCCAACTCCACGGAGAAGTAGAGGTCTTCTCCAGACTCAGACTGCACAGTGAAGCAGTGTTTCCGCTGGTCCAGCAGGTCACTGTCCTGATGGAAACCTGGAGTTACACAGGCTGGCATACATCAATCCATATTGCTGACATGGCCATACCTCGAATCAATGTTGACTAATGCACGGTGGAGACGCCAAGGTCATACGGATGACACTACATCTTCCTTAAAAATGGTCATAGCAGGGGCGCCTGGGTGGCTCAGTCGGTTAAGCGTCCGACCTCGGCTCAGGTCATGATCGCGCAGTCTGAGAGTTCGAGCCCCACATCGGGCTCTGTGCTGACGGCTCAGAGCCTGGAGCTTGCTTCACATTCTGTGTCTCCCTCTCTCTGCCCCTCCCCTACTCATGCTCTGTCTCTCTCTCCCTCGCTGTCAAAAATAAATAAACTTTAAAAATGGTCATAGCAGCCTAAACTCCACACCTCAAAGTCCACAACTAATGTATTTCTCCTCGTTATCAACACTGAAGCATCGCATGAAACAGAAGTGAGGATGGCTGGCTTCTACGCTTACCAGCAACATAACTCGCAAAGCATTTAACACGAGTTCAGTTTAGACGGTACGAAGCGATGACACAAAACCCTCTTTTCTTTTTCCCTAACAGAGCTGTCGAGACGATGAAGTTAATGCTTATCGGTAGGTTTTCAAATTTTAGAAAGGTTAACAAGCAGGACGTTTTCTGTTGAGTTGATTTCTTTAGCCCTTAAAGCCACATGACCATATCTACACGAGAAATGGAAACAATGAGTCTAGGTTGTCTAAAAAAAAAATGGATCGCTTCTAAAAAATACATATTTACCTTACTTCTGTAACTATATTTTATTAAGTCAAGAAGACTGTGACGTGGCAATTTCTTGGTCTTGTTAGGCGTTTTCAACTGTGTTCACCTATCTATGTGTATGTCAGTTTCAGAGATATTAAAAGAAAATGCGGCTAAGAATTGACGAAATAGGGTAATCCCAAGCAATATGTCAGATATGGCCTCTGAATTACATGTGGAGCGTGCTGAAAATGGCCAAAGCGTAGTCACTGGGGTCTTTCACCATTTCTTATACATAACTACATAAAGGTATCATTAAACACTCACAAATGTTAGAAGGAATTCTCTGCTCTGGCAAGTGTTTTCAAACTAATAACTCTCTTATCAATAAACTCAGTTTTCTTTGTTTTCCTATTTGGATGCTTAAAATATGAGAGGAGAGTGAATGAACAGCACTTGCTTCTGGTTGTAGAATTCAGCTTTGATAACTGCTGCCAGGAGATGCTCAGGAGCTCAAAGAAAGTTACATTCTCTTTGTATTTACTGATTGTCTTATACTATCTTAAGGTGAAAAAAAATGAAAACATATCTTCAAAAGCATAGTCCAGTGATAAGCTATTGTAAGGTACTTTTTTTTTCATCATTCGGCGTTTACAATGTCTACTGGAGTGACAAAGACAGATAGTAAGTAAATTACTCTACAAGTAAATAGGTCGGGACGGATCCTTGTAAGTGCTGTTATGGAGAGTAGGAATGCAGTTCACACCAAAGTGGATTGCTGAGTCAGGAAAATATCCTCTAGGATGTGCATTTTAAGCAGTGGCCGAAAGACACGTGGAAGATTGAAGGTTGATGGGCGGGAAGAGGCCTTTAACCAAGGTATTGGCAAGGTATTGGTGTTGGCACAGGCATTGAAGCAACAGCTCCAACAGCATTCCAGAAATCCAGACAGCAGGTGAAAGAGAGGTCGAGAGCCATTGCTGAGACAGGTCATGAATTCTGGACTTTAACGGAAGTGTAATGACAAGCTACCATGTTTCAAAAAAAATAGCAAATCCTTTATTTATCTCGTAAATATTTTAACTTCTATATTACTTATTTAATTGGCAACATTGGCACAAAAACTGTAACCAAATACCGCAGGATTTCTGGAAACCTTGCTAATTTTATGGCTTATTCAAGAGGTCTTAACTTTCTTTGTTATGTAAAATTGTAACCTAAAATAATCAGTGTCATTAAGAGCCAGAAAACTGTTGACATTTTTCCTTCTCCTACGTTGCCATGAAATCTTAAAATAACCTTCATTTAAGATTTTTCTGTTTTCTTGGCAGCTTAACTACTTTACTCTTTGAAAACTTGGTTTGGCATCTCCTGTTAAATTGACCCAGCACTAGAGCTCTCAAAGACAGAGAGTTCTCTGTTCGACTCTGCAAATAGAAGTTCAACATCTGGGAACACTTGGTTATTGCTATTGATAAGGCACTCCTCATATGGTGACTTACACTACAGCCCCTGTGGGCACCCAGGCACTCAGGTCACAGTTTCCTGAGGGAGACAAATATATAAAAATAATAAAAAGCATCATGACAGTGTTATGTAGCTAACGTGCTTCAGGAACTGGAATGGGAGCAATAAATCATTCTCGAAAGTGGGAAGGAGAAAGTTTTGTTCCGGGAAGAATGTCTCATCATCAAGGACTTAGAGATCCATGCAAGGGCGATCCTTTGCAAGCCTGAATGGTCTCGGGTCCTCCTGCTAAGACATTCGTTCAAATGACCGCCTGCGCTGTGAGAACCCCCCTGGAAGGTCTGAGGTAAGCAAGAGGCGGAATCCGCTGCTTTCGATAGAGAAGAGCAAGAGAGGCAGAAGATGGAAAATGGAACATGCGCGTATAAATCTTAGCATTGTTTCTGACATAGGGTAGTTCTGAATTAACATTAGAAATTTCTATTACTAGTGCTGATACTCAATAAAGTAAATATATACGCTGTTCCTTAATTTCTACTTCTTTAATTTGCTCTCTGTACGCTCTCTGTTTATCTTTGGTCAGGGTGAGTTTGGCCCCAGTAGAAACAATTAGCCTCCATGATACTTCTTGCTCATTGGAAAGTGTCATTTAACGAATGGTAATAAAATAAGAGCTACACAAATCACGGACGCTATTTTTGTGCATTGGTCTCATTTACGACTTCTCCGGAAGTATCCCCTCATTTTTTAGATTTATTCCAAGTCTTCTGGACACTTTCTGCTCACTAATCACCAAACGCTGTCCTTCTTATGGTTTGTCTCAGGTTCACAAAACAATATTACACAGAAACAACACATTACAGATATGTTTGCTATTAACGTAGATGCTTTTCTAAGACGTTCAGAGGTCAGTGGTATAACCAAAGTGGTTTTTTTACTAAAAAGAAAAACAAACTATGTGTTTAGAATAATAATTATTAAGATCGTAGACATAGCTAGCCATAAACTTTCTATTGCATTTTTTAAAAAAATTTTAATGTGTATTTATTTTTGAGAAAGAGAGTGAGTCACGGTGTAAGCAGGGAAGGGCAGAGAGAGAGGGAGACACAGAATCTGAAGGAGGCTCCAGGCCCTGAGCTGTCAGCTCAGAGCCTGACGCCGGGCTCGAACTCACAAACTGAGAGATGGTGACCTGAGCCGAAGTTGGACGCTTAACTGACTAGGCCACCTAGGCATCCTAACTTTCTATCGTATTTAAAACATGTAAGATTAAAGGCAGAAGAAAGGTGCCAAAAATCAGTGCGTTATCCCTATGGCAAAATTTCTACATCTATCAATATGGTTTCTTCTCTCCTTCACGCTATAATCATTTCATCCAATACTTGCTAATATGGCAAGTTACTTGTTTCACACTTTTCCAGTTAGACTTATCATTGCTCTAATAATAGATTTTTTTTCTTCAAGTTAATGACATTTGTGGAATTGAAAATAGAAATGAGAAAAGAATAGGCAGACGGAGGATGGATATTTTTGCATTATTATATTAAATATAAATTAATTTATAAACTATGTGACTTAATATGTTTTTGACTGCTATGTTTGCTACTGCTTCCTTTACTTGGACTTATAGTGAATCAGAAAATCATTCAATCATCAGGCATGAGTATTTAAAACAAACAAAAATGTAATTTTTTTTTCAACGTTTATTTATTTTTGGGACAGAGAGAGACAGAGCATGAACGGGGGAGGGGCAGAGACAGAGGGAGACACAGAATCGGAAACAGGCTCCAGGCTCCGAGCCATCAGCCCAGAGCCTGACGCGGGGCTCGAACTCCCGGACCGCGAGATCGTGACCTGGCTGAAGTCGGACGCTTAACAGACTGCGCCACCAAGGTGCCCCAAAAATGTAATTTTTAATGAAACAAGAAGAGCAGGCCCAGAAAGGGTTCTTCAGCTACAAATAATAATTTCTAATTTTTTGTGACTATTCTAATATCTAAAAGTGAGAACGAAAAACATACCTTCGGAATTAAATTTTGCCAATTGATTTTGAATTAGACTTTCAAGAATGATTGATTCCCTAAAGGCACTTATTAAATCTACATAATAAAATTTACATAACAACTATCTAAATCTGATAGTTTTAATAACATTACAATACTATTTTCATTTTTTTAAGCTTATTTATTAGAGAGAGAGAGAGAGAGAGAGAGAGAGAGAGAGAGAGCAAGTGCTCGGACTGGGGAGGGGCAGAGGGAGAGAGGATTCTAGGCAGGCTCCATGCTGTCAGCATAGAGCCCGATGCAGGACTTGATCTCACTAACCCGTGAAACCTGAGCTGGACAGTTAAGAGTTGGACACTTAACCAACTGAGCCACCCAGACGCCCCAACACCATTTTCATTTTTATGACAGTATTATTCTTAACATTGCTGTGCAGTGAAAATTTTTATATAAATCAAAATATTGTTAGGAATATTTTCCCTTATTGGATTTTGTAAAAGAGGAAGTTGGAAACTTCACTCTCAATATTGTAATTCTGATTCTATAAATTCCAGAACAAAAATGACATTTGTGTATTATTTAGTCAATATGACCAATATGGAAAAATAACTTTGTTTTAAGTTATAGTAACAATAATTACATAACTTTCATTTTCTTTATGTAGGAATACATCAGAAGTAAGTGAAGGTCATATACATGAATTTAAATATTTCCATTTTTTATGGCTATGTCAGATACCAAATATAAAAACTTACTTTTCTATTAAAATATCACCTAATGTCTGTCAGAGTAATTATTTTGAACAC